AGACACTTAACGACTGAGCCACCCAGGCGCCCCTCTTTGTAACTTCCTAAAAATCACCAGACACAGCTCTTTGGGCACAACTACAAGTTCTTCCTATCTGGCCCTGCCATCTAGCCCCCGCCCCCTGGTATTTATGTGGCCATGCTTGCTCCGCCCCTGGGGAGCTCCTCACCCTCTGGGCTTGGATACCCTCTCCCATCTGGCTAGGCTCCCTTTCCCATCTCTGGATCATTTGCTTTTGAGAGAAAAGGAGGTAAGACAATAGTAGCTGAGTAGTTCTGCTTTCTCTGAAAGTTACAGCAAGAGTCCCAAGCAGTGGGCCTATCACTTCCTGATTCTTTTTCTTGTTCTAATCATACCGGAAAAGGCCTCTTCTTATCCGAAGTATTTTCGCCTTCCTAGCCTGCTTACCAGCTTCTTAACACTTCACACTGCCCATAAACCTTGTTTTCACACTTGCAGATGGAACTCGAGTCCCCCTTTCCCCTATTAACACTATATTTAAATAATATTTAAAGTTTTAAAGCACAATTACTTTATCAAGTATTTTATAGGAAAATATTAGACTTTGATTTTACTGACTTAATTTCAGCGTTAGGAAGAATGAACATGTTTATACACTGACAAGAATATATGGGGGAAAATATAGGGACTGTGTAATAGCTACTTGTACTCCCTTTCCTTTCTTTTTAAAAAGATTTATTTATTTATTTGAGAGAGAGAGAGAGAGATATCACGCAAGGGGGAAGGACAGAGAGAGAGACAATCTTAAGCAGATTCTGCGCTCAGCGCAGAGCCCACTGTGGGGCTTGAGCTCATGACCTGAGATCACCACCTGAGCTGAAACCAAGAGTCAGACGCTTAGCTGACTGCGTCACCCAGGCATCCCTGTACTCCCCTTTCCCCTCATGTATATTCCTTAGTTCCTTTTGTCCATGTGTTCTTTTGGCTTATTTCCACAATTTTTGGTTTGCTTTCTTTCTGGCAACCATTTTTATTTTAAATTATTGCATACAGATGCAGAAATTACTTGACTGGTGCTAACTGCACAATTATGGAAATTAATCACAGGATGCTGAACTGTTGGAAGACTGAACTGTTTTATATTTTTAACCGAGATAAAATTCATATACCACAAAACCTACCCCTTTAAAGGGTAAGGTACACTTCTCTGTTTTTAGTAACTTCACAAAGTTGTGCAACTAATACCACTATCTAATTTCAGAACATTTCCATCACCCCAAAAGAAACCCTGTATCCATTAGCAGTAACTCTCTATTCCTTTTGCAATGTGGATATCTAGTTGTCCACCATTATTTGTTGAAAAGAATGTTGTTTCCCCCATTGAATTGTCTTGGAGCCCTTGGAAAAACAAATTTACCAGACATATGGGTTTATTTCTGGACTCTCAGTTCTGTTCTGTCGGTCTCTACGTCTATTCTTATGCTACTATCACGCTGTCTTGTAGCTTTGTAGCAAGCTTTGAAATGAGAAAATACGAGAACTCCAATTTTGCTCTCTTTCAGGACTGTCTTGGCTAATCTGGATCCCTCACTTTCCGAGTGAATTTTAGGATCAGCTTGTCAATTTCTGTAAAGAAGGCAGTTGGGATTTTGGTAGGGACTGCATGGATCATAGATCACTTAGAGCAGTACTGCCCTTCTCAAAATATTGTCTTCCAATCCATGCACATGAGATGTCTTCCCTGTTTTGTTTTGTTTTTAGGTTTTCTTTAATTTCTTGAAACAAAGCTTTGTATTTTTCGGTGCATAAGTTTTACACTATTTTTGTTATATTTATTTCTAAACATTTTATTCATTTAGATGTATTATAAAAGGAATTATTTTCTAAATTTCAGATCGTTCATTGCTAGTGCATAGAAATATAACTGATGTTGTATATTGATCTTGTATCCTAACACTTTGCTGAACTTGTTTATTTTAAAAGTTTTTTAGAATTTTCCTAAATCCTTAGGATTTTCTATATATATGATCATGCCCTTTGTGAACAGAGATGGTTTTACTTCTTTCCAGTCTATAGTCCATTTCTTTTTCTTGCCTAATTGCTTTGGGCTCTACCCTTTTAAAGCCTATACAGTTTCTTGAATGACTTCCCTCTTTTGTCCTCATTAGAATAAATTTTTCTGGGAGAAGGGGACAGGGTGTAGGAGGAAGAGAGAAAATGGAGCTCTTAAAAACCAAAATATTGCAACTGTGTGGTTTGAATTGATTTTCAGTGAGACTCACATCCTCTCAGTGGAAATGTCTTCCTTCATAGCACCTGGGCCCAGGGATTTTCTGGGGGAATTGCTGAAATCTGTTTTCCTCAGGTTTTGGATACAAGCCTGGCTGAGCCAAATATCCACCCTTCCTTGGTTGTTACATAGTCTAAGAAAACATAGCCACTTTTCCCAATGCCTGTCTCTTCTCCTTCTTTGGCCAACTCTTACTTGCTAGTTAGAGGTAGAGCACCCGTGGTTTCTCTCATAGCATCCTCTGCCTTCTGAGAAATAAAACAGTTAGTGAGACAATAGGTTTATCAGCTGTTCTGCTTCTATCTCAAGAAGACTTTGACAAATAGCTCCATCACATCTGAAGTCACCTTCTGGGCCAGTTTTGTGATCCAGGTGAGGAGGGTCCACCAAGACTCTCCTTCCATATACTTCCATACACTTCCAATTTGACACTCAGGTTCTTCATCCCATCTAGAAGACCTTTTTATTAGAACAAGGCACACATTTAATTTCCTCATTCCTGATGAAGTCTTGGCTCACCATGTTCTAGTGGAGCTCTTACTTCTTCCCAGTCATGGGACAAAAGGAGGGAAGAATGGTTTTATTAAAGGTGTCCAATGCACACCAAAGGCTTTGCTGACTGCCTTTAGAATGAGAGAAGTCTTCTTCCTGTGAGTGCATGCTCTGTTACCAGTGACCTCTTGGGATATACAGGAAGCCAGGTGGATGGAAATCTTTGACTATGTAAATAGGTACACCCCATAGCCAAGTATGAGCTTCTAGTGCTCAATGGCTAGACATGAACAACCTAGGCACTGACTGGCTTCAGAAGAAAGATAGCACTGGATGTAGGCAGGATCCAGGATGGTCAGCACCCTGGGCCAACTCCACTGCTTCCCAGTTCCAGGGCAGGCTCTAGAGGGTAGCTGCCCTTTTGTTTGGGGCTTTCCTCCTAGGAGTTAAATCTCTGCCTCCTAGCTCCACTCTGAAACCAAACTCAGGTCTCTGGTGGCTCACCAAGCTTCCTGTCCACCTTGATTTCCTTTTAACCTCACAGGTCCACTTTGTGCCCACTGCCTAAGGACAAAGTCACTTAGGCCAGGGAAGGTCTCAAGAGCAAGTGACTTCTTGGTAAGCTGACTCCTCCCTCACCCTGAGGTTGCACATGGCTCCAGTGCCTACTGAGAAGTGGTCCATTTGAAGGAAGTTGCCAGGAGTCAAATCTCAAAATCCTTCTTAGAAGTATGCTTAGCCATTCCACAGAACTCCCCACAAATGATGAAAGAGAGAGAAGAGTGAGGCTATGTAAGCAGAGAGATGGCCACATCACATCCCGGGGGCCACAGGAGCACCAGGGCTCCCTAATCACACAGGGCACAGGAAAGCCCCGTGGCAGAGAGACAGGAGGCACTGCCCAGGGCGCCAGGAGCCTGCCGCTGCTCATGTCTGCGATTATTATAATTATGACAATGCCAGCTTCTTATCCTTTATCTGTGTGTTTCAAAAGGCCCACCTCCCACTCTTGTACCACTTGGTCACAATATTTCAGTATCCCATATACTTCAACCGAGACCTTAAAGGTATTGTCTGTCATCTTTCAAGGTACCGGTTACTGTAACATTTCTATGGTTTGAGTGTCTGCGGTGATATATTTTCACCTTATTAATAAGCACGAAATAAGTCAATTTAAAAATTATTTCCTTCAGTCTTCCTTCACGTTCACTTTACTATCTAGAACTATATTTCAATATAGTGTATTTGCTTTGCTGAATCCATTCATAGTGTATCTGTACGTCTGGATTGAACACATTTCCTGTAGTGACAACTACTCTATTTGTAGGAACTATTTAGGTCACTGGAGTGGAGAAAAAGAGGCCACTGTTTAATAGAAAGGGCATATATCCAAATATAGATGCAGTTTTCTGAACACCTGTTGAACATCAATGATGGAGAGATTGTTACAACTTCCCAAACCCTAGACCAAACCCTTAAATGATTAGTCACTTTGTTTAAACTGACCCAGAATTTAATCCAGGAAAATAAGTTTCCTAACCCCTAAAAAAGTGAGTCTTAAAAAGTGTCTTACTTCTGCTTTAGAAGTAACATAGTCTCTTCAAAAAGCAATTTGTTTCGATGTCAATGATTTCCCAACAAAAATCACTTCAGAGGAAGCTATATGAGTTGAGCCTTAGCGCATGCACAGTAATTGTTTGCTTTTGGAGACAGAGCAAGCATGACAAATATTTTCAGTTGTCAAGGGAGGAGGGAATGACCCACCTAAGAAATGGAAACTAACGAAGAGTAATATGACACTCCCCCTTAGTTCCACCGGGCGCCGGCTGGGGCTGCTACTCAGTTAACTTCCTACCGCCGGATAAAGGCGAGGCTGTGCAAGAGCCGAATAAAAGCGGCCTCTCTACCCGCTCCCCCCAACACTGTGGTGGGGGACGGCATGCAAGGACTTCAAGGGAAGGGGGCATTGGAAAAGTACCCTTTACTGTTGCCATTCATTCATGCATGTATGCATGCATTCATTCATTCATTAATACATTCCTTCAATAAATAGCTATGCGTTGGGGGCTTAATTCTTCAACTATGACTCAATAGCCCATTCGGATACCACACACCTCCGTCCCCATTTCTAGCCCTAGGCCTCACTCGCTCATCAAGAAGATGCTTATTACAGCCTCGCTCTCCTCCCTCCCTTCCCCGGGTCCCCGGGCCAGGGTGACAGGACAAATCAGTCAGAAGAGTCCCTTACCAAGAGCAAGGAAGGAGGGCTCAGAGTACAGGGAGAAGGGGTTTCGGGGACCTTCCTGCCTGCAAGGGGGAGAGGCAGCCCCTTCTTGGACGGCCGCACCCAGGGGCGAGGCTGAGGGCTCACGGGCACCGCGCTTGGACGGGGAACCTGAGCTGACGCCGATGCTGGAGGGGGAAACGGCCGCGAGGGGATTCCGCACGGGGGGAGTGGGCGCTGCAGGACGTCCGAGGCGGTGGGAGGCTGGTGACAGCACACGCACACGTGGGGAGGACCGCCTCCACCTGGGTGGTGGGAGCAGGGGTGCCGGCAGGGGCGACGAGCGGGCGGGGCGGGCTACCTGATGAAGGTGGTCTTGCCCGTGCTGTACTGGCCCACCAGCAGGATCATGGGCTTGTTCTCGAAGTCGGCGTCCTCCAGCGCCGGCGAGTGGAACTCGTGGAAGCGGTACGCCTCCTCCAGCGGCAGCACCTTGCGCAGGTAGAGCGAGCGCAGGCCGCCAGTCACCGTCTGCACCGCGTCGGCGCCTCCCGCGCGCTCGCGCCCGCCCGCCTGCCGCCCCATCCAGCTGAACATCGTGCAGCCGGTCCGCGCCCCGCGCCGGCCCTCTCAGTGCCTGCCCCGCGCTCCAACCCCGCTCTGGGTTCGACCCTCCCCGGCTCGCTCTGAGCTGCCCCAACCGCTCTCGCCACCGCCCGAGCTGGCCCCGCCTCGTGCCGTCGCAGCCAATCTCCGGTCGTTACGTCACGGCAGCTCGTTCACTATTCAGAAGGCTCGCTCAAGTCCTTCCTCATTGGGCCGCTGCCAGGACGGGTGGTGACGTCAGTCAACGGAGAGGAGGTTCTTAATGAATTATTGATGACGGAGTCTCTCCGCGGGGCTGGGCGGAGGAGAGGGTGTCTCCCGCGCCCCTTGGCGCAGACGGGTCACGGGAGGGGCCCCTTTAGGTCGCCGGAGCCGCACCTCTGGCCAGGTGGCTTCGGCTTCCGGGCAAAACTGAGCTGGCAAGAATGAGCCTCCGGAGGCTGCTTAGTCTCCCAGGAAGTTTACTCCTTCCAGTCTTAATGATACTGGGAACAACAGTGCAGACAGTTGATAGGCAGGTTATTATTTACCTTCATTTTATTAGTGAAGAGACCTTGACTCACAGACATACTGACAAGATTTGAATAAGGGGAAGGAGACTCCAATTTACTTGAGTAGATATTTCTCTTCACACTGCCTCCACTAAATTCTGGGATCGATTGAAAGCCTTTGCCCTTATTTTTCTTTATTTGATTTAATGTAAAATTGAAGGTTTAATCATCATCCTCATTATTACAACCTAATTACCACATATGGACATGTAAAGAGTTATTATTACCTCCTAGCTCTCTCTTTTTCAGGTTAAAAGGACACATCTAAATTGAGACTGGGAGAAATAATCAGCCGTCACTTTTGGTGTTCTAGGTAACAGTTTGAGAATATTTCTCCATTGTTTTAGAGCGTTTCTCAGGTGTGATCCATGGAGTCACCTGCATAAGAATAACCTGGGATGCTTGTTAAAATGTGGATTTCCGGTCATCACCCCAGACACACTGAGTTAAAATACTGAGGAAGGATGGCTCAACAAGTGCTCTCAGGTGATTCTGACACACCCTAAATTTGGGGAAATAAATTGCCCAACAGTACTTCTCTAACTTGATAGAAATGCAGATTCTGATTCAGGGGTGTGCATTTCTGACAAGCTCTCAGGTGTTTCCAATCTGTTTGTCTATGGACTATACTTGCAGGGCCAGGGCTGTGGTGAAGAGAGAACAGGAGTTGGCATCAAAAGACCTGGGTTTGAATCCTGACTACAGAAATTAATGGCTATTTGGCTTTAAATGCAATGAGCTGCCTCTCTGCCTCAGTTTCCTTGTTTGTAAAAATGGGAACTCCTCGGGAGTTGTTGTGTGGATCAAATATTTAGAGGAAGCTGTATGTAACTAAGGAAGTGAAAAGAAAGCCAAAGGAAAATGAACTTAGATATCTGCCTCATGTCAAAATAAAACAAAGATTAAAATGTAAAAACAAAATAAACACATAGAACTACTAGAAGAAGGTACAGGTGAAGATTTATAAAATTTTGGAAGGGAAAAGCTTTCTGATCAAAACCAAAGACAAATTATGAAGGAAAAGGTTGACAGTTTTCTCAACAAAAAAGTAAAAGATTTAGTGTATTTTTTTTTATGTATTTTTAAAAATACAAACCCATGTAAACATACTCTTTACCATATGATCCAGAAATTGTACCCCTTGGTATTTACAAATAAGTTGAAAACTTATGTCTGCACAAAAACTGCACATGGATATTTATAGCAGCTTTATTCATAATTGCCAACCCTTGGAAACAACCAAGATGTCCTTTGCTAGATACACTTCACTATGGTACAACCAGCTGATAGAATATTGTTCAGTGCTAAAAAGAAACGAACTATCAAGTCAGGGAAAGACAGAGAGAAACCTTAAATCCATACTACTAAGTGAAAGAAGACACTGAAAAGGCTGCATACTGTATGATTTGACTATATGACATTCTGGAAAAGGCAAAACTATGGGGACAGTAAAAGGATCACTGATAGCCAGGGGTTAAGAAAGAGGGAAGGATGAATAAGAGGAGCAAGAAGACTTATAGAGTAGTGAAAATAATTCTGTATGATAATGTCATTATACATTTGTCCAAATTCATTGAACATATAACACCAAGAGTGAACCTTAATGTCAACTGTGGATTTTGGGTGATAATGATGTGTCATTGTAGACTAGATTCATTGATTGTAATGAATCAATTACACTCTGGTGCAGGATATTGCTGATATGGGATGTTGATAGTGGGAGGAGGCTATGTATTGGGGAGGCAGGGGTACATGGAAACTCTCTGTATTTTATGCTCCATTTTGTTGTGAATCTAAGACTGCTCTAAAAAATTCTATTAAAAATAGCATATGTAAAAAATAAATAAATCCATAAACAAAGGCAAAAGACAAATTGGGAAAACTATTGACAGACATATATAATAAATATATTTAATTAAGGATATTAGAACTTTAAAAGCTACTGTAAAATTATTAAGAAAGAAATGATGCTCCATTAGAAAATGAGCAGAGGACATAGGCAACTAACAAGACAAATATAATTGACCAATAAACATTAAATGATGCTAACCTCCATTAATAATCAAAAAACATAAATTTAAAATAAATAGATAACATTAAGAATGGCATACTTATTTTTATAAGATAATGCCTAATGTTGACAAGAGTGTGGAAAAAGATACCATCTCATACATTGCTGGATATGGTATAAACTGGCACTTTAATGGAGCCCATACTTATCAAAAATCTTGAAAACACACATTCAAGACTTCTGCAACATCATACTTAATGATGAAATAACTGAATGCTAAGATCAGGAACAAGGTAAAGATGTCTACTCTTATCACTTCTGTTTAATGTCATACTAGAGGTTCTAACCAGTACAATAAGAAAAAGAAAAGGTATCCATATTGGATAGGGATAAGTAAAACTGTCTTTATTTGCAGAAAATATGACCATCTATGTAGAAAATTCTATGGAACCTACAAAAAAGCTACTAGGATTAATAAGTGAGTTTAGTAAGGGTGCTGGATATAATACACATATACAAAAACCAGCTATGTCTTTATATACTAGAAATGAACAATGGGACGGTGAAATAAAAAATCAATGTCACTTGTAATAATATAAAAAATATGAAATATTTAAGGATAAATCAGATAAAAAATGTACAAGGTCTAGGGGTGCCTGGGTGTCTTGGTTGCTTAAGCGTCCGACTCTTGATTTCGTCTCAGGTCATGATCCCAGGGTCCTGGGATCAAGCCCCGCATCGGGCTCACTGCTCAGCGGGAGGCCTGCTTCTCCCTCTCCCTTTGCCTGCTGGTGTTCCCTCTCTGTCTGTCAAATAAATAAATAAAATTAAAAAAAAAAAAAGATTCTCTCTGCCCCTCCACCCTGCTCTTGTGTGTGCTCTCGCTAAAAAAAAAAAAAAAGAAAAAGGACAAGCTCTATACACTGAGAACCACATAGTATTTCTGAGAGAAATAAAAAAGGCCTAAATAAATGGAGATATATACGATATACCATGTTTATGGATCAGAAGACTCAATGTTGTTAAAATGTCAATTTTCTCCAAACTAATGTATAGATTTAGTGCAATTCCAGCAGGCTGTTGTTTTTGTAAGAATTGACAGGCTGATTCTAAAATTCATATGTAAATGAAAAAGACCTAGCCAAAGCAACTTTGAAAAAATTAACAAAGTTGGAGGACTTACACTACCTAATTTCAAGACTTACAAACCTACAGAAATCAAGACAGGACTGTGGTATTGGTATAAAAATAGACTAATATATCAATGAAATAAATAGAGTTCAGAAATAGACCCACACATATATAGTCAATTGATTTTTGACAAAGTGCAAAGGCAATTCAATGGATGAAAAGAAGTCTTGTCAACCAATAATGCTAGAACAATTGAATACCCATATGCAAAAATATAAACTTTGATCCACACCTTGCACTGTATGTAAGAATTAACTCAAAATTACTATAGACATAAATGTAAAACTTAAAACTATGAAACTTCTAGAAGAAAACATAATTCAGGGGCACCTGGGTGGCTCAGTTGATTAAATGTCTGCCTTCGGCTCAGGTCATGATCCCAGGGTCCTGGGATCTAGCTCCGCATTGGGCTCCCTGCTCAGCGGGCAGCCTGCTTCTCCCTCTCCCTCTGCTGCTCCCCCTCCTTGTGCTCTCTTTCTCTCTCTCTGTGTCAAATAAATAAATAAAATCTTAAAAAAAAAAACCACAGTAGAAAATCTTTGGATATTATGTAGGGAAAGGTTTCTTAGATGATACCAAAAGCATGATCCATAAGAGAAAAAAATTAATAAATTGGACTTCATCAAGATTAAGAACTTCTGACCTTTGAAGGATACTGTTAAGAGAATGAAAGGACAAGGCACAGACTAGGAAAATACATTTTCAAATTACATATCTGATAAAGGACTTGTATCCAGAATATATAAAGACCTCTTAAAATTCAATAATAAGGAAACAACCCAATTTAAGACATGGAAAAAAATTTGAACAGATACTTCACCAAAGAAGATGTATGGGCAAATAAACACATAAAGAGATGTTCAACATCATTAGTCATTAGGAAAATGCACATTAAAACCACAACAAGATACTACTACATACCTATTAGAATGCCTAAAATTAGAAGACTGACCATACCAATTGTTGGTGAGGATGTGGAGCAACTGGAACTCTCATATGTTGACAGTGGAATGTAAAATTATACAACTCCTTTGGAAAACAGTTTGGCAATTTCTTTTTTTTTTTTTTTAAGATTTTATTTATTTATTTGAGAGGGGTAGGGGGCACAGAGGGAGAGTGAGAGGGAGAAGCAGACATCCAGCTGAGCAGAGAGCCTGATGCAGTGCTCGATTCCAGGACCCTGGGATCATGACCTGAGCCACAGGCAGACGCTTAACCGACACCCAACCAGGGGCCCCGGTTGGCAATTTCTTAAAAAGTAAAGCATATACCTACCACATGATGCAGCAGGGGAAGAGCATAGGGAAGAATTACAAAGGGCATGAGTACAAAGGATTTGTTCATTACCTTGATTGTGGTGATAGTTGACAGTTGTATACATCTGCAGAAACTCATCAAATTGTGTACTTTAAATATGTGCGGTTTATCATGTGTCAATTATACCTTTATTAGTTGTTAGAAATGCTCATACTTCTAGACTCAGAAATTTTACCCTGAGGAAATAGTCAATGTAAAGCTTTATCTAAAGCATGTTTATCAGCATAACACTTATAATAGTGAAAAGCTGTGATTAGCTGTTCCCGCATGGAGGATTAGTTAGATAGATAATGGATTCCTATGCAGTCTCTGAAAATTGTGTCATATAAAAAGAATGTTAATGACCTGGGAAAATACTCAGAATATATTTTTAAGTGGAAAAAAGATTACAGGAGAGAATACATTCAATTACTATGGAAAACAGTATGGCAATCCCTTGAAAAATTAAAAATAGAACTACCATATGATCCAGTAATCCTACTTCTGGGTATATATCCAAAAACCTTGAAAGTAGGTTCTCTAAGAGATATTGCACATCCGTGTTCATAGCAGCACTATTCACAATAGCCAAGAGGTGGATGCCACCCAAGTTTCCATTGATGGATGAATGGATAAACAAAATGTGGTATATACTTACAATGAAATATTATTCAGACTTAAAAAGGAAGGAAGTCCTGTCATATGCCACTATCTACAAGAACCTTGAGAACATGATGCTAAGTGAAATAAACCAGTTACAAAAAGACAAATAGCATATGATTCCACTTCTATGAGGTATCTAAAGTAGTCACATTCATAGAAACAGAAAGTCAAATGGTGGTGACCAGGGACTGGAGGGAGTAGGAAATGGGGGAGTTTTCAGTAGCATAGAGTTTCAGTTTCACAAGATGAAAAAATTCAGGAGATCACAACAATGTGATCATAGTTAACACTATTGGCCTATACACCTAAAAATGGTTAAGGTGGTAAATTTTATGTTATGTATATTTTACCACAATTTTTAAAAAATTGAATCTATAGGGTTTTTGTACTTTTGAAAAAAAATTTAAAGTAAGGAAGTGAAAACATGGGAAAGACAAACCCCAAAATAGTAATGATCTTTGAATTTTGGAATGATAAATGATCTTAGTTTCCTTCTTTATGTGCTTTAGCATTTTTCAGATTTTACACAATAATCATGTTCTTGTTTTATAATCGGAAAAAAATTTGAAGGAAGAAAAAAAGTTACTGCCTTTAATCTTTAAAACCAGTGAAAGTCCTGAAAGAGCCTGGAGCAAGAAGACACATCATAATGTCTTACTTTTCTCCCTTCTCTGTCTTCATACAACTGCAGCCCCTGCTTTCGTGTTCTTGATCCGTCCTTAGTGGGGCAGGAGAGTGATGGGCACTCCTTAGGATAATCATCTTGCATCCATTTGCAAGCTGGAATCCTCTTCTGGTTTTCCTTCTTCAGACTCAACAATCCCAGTTATAGTCACCTTTTCATCTGAATCGAATTGTTTTTTCAGGCTAAATCCTATTTCAGGTAGTTTTACAGAGAGTGCCATTAGTTACCTGGATTTTTGTTGGATTAAATAATTCATGAAATAAGTATTTTGATAATAAGACTCAACTCTCTTTGCTATATGAAAATTTTAATTGTAATTCTTGTGGAAGGGTTTTTTTTTCCTTCTTATTCTTGGTAATTTGATGTTCACAAGGTCTGCTTTATTTATTTATTTATTTATTTGAGAGGGAGAGAGAGAGAGCGCGTGAGCTCCTGGGCATGAGCAATGTGGGGAGGGGCAGAGGGAGAGGGAGAAAGAGAATCTTAAGCAGGTTCCACGCCCAACCTAGAGTCCGACATGGGGCTTTATCTCATGACCCTGAGATCATGACCTGAGCCGAAATCAAGAGTTGGACCCTTAACTGACTTCACCGCCCAGGCGCCCCTCACAAGGTTAGCTGTAGATGGTATTCAGGGCTTGGTTCTACATGCATAACAAGTGCAGTGTCTTACTCTGATACTTTAAGTCCCAGAGTAGTTAAAGTCCTGAGAGACACATGCTAAAGAGATTAGAGGAGGTACTTTGGCCTGCAAAGAGCCCCCTTCATTCTCAGACACACCTCTCCTTTCTCTGTGCCACTCACCCAGGTCACTGCTGCCACTTGGAGATGTAGCTTATAGGACACGGCAGGTGGAGATGTCTGGGAGGTACTTGCAGTAAGACAGCCAGCTGCCTACACATGGTCTGTTTTTCAGCAATGGAACTCTCATTTTCAGCCAGGCGCATTGCCACCCAGGTAAAAACAAAATTTTCCTGTCTCTGTACAATTAAATGTGATCATAAGACCAAGGGCTGGTTGCTGATAGGTTACCTGAAGGATGTGTGGGAGTTGCAGGAAGTCTCCTTTAGAAAGAAAAGAGTTCAATCTTGCTCTCCCCTTCCTCTCTCTTGTAGTCTGGGATAGGGATACGATGGCTGGAGCTTCAGGGCCCATCCTGGACCATGAGGCCAAGGACTACACATGGGAAGGTAAATCAGAGCTGGGAGGGGCAGAATCCCTGATGAATCCTGGACATGCCATGCCCGCCTTGGATGACCTCCTTGTGGGCTTTCACATGAATGTATTGAAGCCCCTATTTGTTAGGTCTCTGCTAGTGAGAGATGAAAGTAATTCCTAACACTGAGTTTGTTCCTAGAAATGGAATCTCTAGTAACAGAACCCAAAATGTGACATTCCTTAGTGGAAGAGAGGTGAGGGTCAGCATTAAGGATTCAATTACTGCAGGCTGGGATTTAAAATATAGCCACACGTATTTTTCGACATGCCTCTTATCAAGAGATGGGATCTTGGTCCTGTCCACTTGAATCCAGGCTGGCTTGTGAGTGCTTCCGCCAACAGCATACTGTGGAAGTGATGTTCTGTGACTTCTGACACTCGATCATAATACACTGTGCACCTGTCACCGAGTAACACTCGCTCTTGGAGCCCTGAGCTGCCATTTAAGAAGGTTGATGATCTTGAAACCACCATGCTGAGGAGGCCGCGTGAAGGTGCTCTGACAGTCAGTCAGACTGAGCTTGTCCTTTGGTCACCCAGGAACCAGATATGTGAAGGAAAGAGCCATCTCAGACCCTTCAGCCCCAGGTATTCCAGACCCCAGCCATCTGAGCCCTCCCCAGGCACTTCAAGTCATTTCAGGGGAGGCCCCACCCATGAATAAGAGTTGTCCTTGCTGTGCCCTTTTTAAATTCCTCACCCATAGAATCTGTGGGCATAATCAAATGGTTGTTCTTTTATGCCTACATTTTGGTTTTTTTTGTTTTGTTTTGTTTTGTTTTTGTTTGCTCAACAATAGATAATTGGGACAACTGGTAATTCTCATTATCTTGTTAAGGTAAAAGTTTAGTTTTCTGTCACAGAAAAGAAGTTCAGAGGTAGGCAGACCAGGGCTAGATTGGTGTGTTCATTGTCAGCAGGAGTTCAGATCCCTTTATCCTCCCTGCTGTCTGGAATGTGGACACAATGGGTGGAGCTCCAGCAGCCATATTGGACCAGAAGGCAAACTTGAGGATGGCAGAAGCAAGAGCTGAAAGGAGCCTGGGTATCTGCTAAGAAATAGATAAATCAATTTCTTCTATCTTCTTTAAGACACTCTTAAGAATCAAAAGATCAAAAGTTTTTGATCTTTTTGATTATGTAATGAAAAGTAATGCTAACTGGTATAGAATTTGAATACATGAAACAAGAACTTAGGAAACTGGCTTGGCTGGAGCTAAAGGTTTGAGAATTTTCAAAATAGAAGTGGTAGTTGAAGTCCTGGCTGTAGACGAGATTGCCTAAGGAGAGTACGGAGTGGGAAGAGAGGAGAGCTGAGGAGAGAACCTCAGGGAATACCAGCAGTTAATGGAGAGCAGGGGAAGTGAGACCACAGGAAGGGCTGGAAAGTGGGAAGGAAACCAGGATGGATGGTGTCCAGCAAACCTGGACCCTTCCCTCTAGGGGGAAGCCTAGTTGGCAGCCCCTAATGTGTTCCTCATGTGTACACGGCTTATACCAAACTTTCCCTTTGTTTTGCAAGGCTCTGTTTTGATGAAGCTCTTCTATGTGGGACGAGGAGGAAGCTCCTTGAAGTGTGGGGTCAACTGTTAATCATTTTTATTGTCCCAGTGCCTACCACAGTGACTGGCATACAGCGAGAAAGCAAGAAATATTTGCAGGCGGAACTGAGTTGAACTGCTGTTGGCAAGGAAGTGTGGGAAGGGAGGGTTTCAGGAAGGAGGGGTGGTCTGCGGCGCCAAATATTGAGAACAGTCAAGTAAGATAAGGCCTGTAAAGGGCTGGTGCCATTTGGCTTAGTGTATCTGGCAATCAGGACATTGGTGACCTTGGGGAGAAGTGTTTTCACGGGGACGTGGGGACAGAACACAGTGGTGTGTGAGAAGCCCAGGCAGGGGTGAGGGCAGGAGTCAGGCTGGTTTTGCAGCACCAGATAATGAATGAAGATGAGTCAACAGCATTTACCCACATGGCCATTTTATTCTGGGCTCAAATACTACAATGATTTTATAAGCCTCATTGTACACACTTTGATGAATCCAAGGCAGGGCTGTCTTTACTGTCCAGCAAACAGGTCTTACAGCATGGCTCACTCTAATTTAAGGAGAGCCTGTTTGTTGCAGGTGGAGAGAAAAGATGTCAAAGTGGAGGCTGTTGGCTGCTCTGGCGTAGAGGAGGGGGGCATCCCAGGTCCGAATTACCTGGGTGGGGACCAGTTTTGCCGGTCCAGGAGCCCTGTTTACCAGTGGGTTAGGGGCACTGATGAATTCCTGCTTTCCAAGCTTATAGGAGAGTATGGCATAAATCCACACCACTGAAATTTAATACGTGTAGCCTCATGGGGATGTGGGTGGTGCGCAGAGAGGAGGTGGGAATCTCCTTAAAATGCAGATTCTGATCCAGCAGACCTGGGGTGGGGCCTGAGCTTCTCTGCATGTCTAACCAGTCCCCCACCACACTTTGAGTAGCAAGGATGGATTTTGGAAGCCGATTTTTCTGGACTTTCGTTACTTGTCACCACTCATCATTTCCTAGCAACCCAAGGACTGCTTCAGGAGCATAGAGGCCAGGAAAGAGGGCCAAGTCTTCCAGGTTTGTTGGGCTTCATGCCTTTCTGGTCACATCTTCCATCGGCCTGGACATCTCCATGGCTCAGGTTACATATTTCTTTAGTCAAATTCCTAGTAGGCCTGGATACTTTGGGCTTCTCTGTGTCCCAGGGCTTTCCCAGTGATTTGTCTGCCAACCTTCTGCAAGGATGGATGGGCTTCTTCCTCAGGGCTAACCTACTCCTTCAAGGGTTGAGTCTTCCTTGTTGAGAGTCGCCTCCAGCCACGGTGTTTACATGATAAAAAGAGGAATCCCGTTTAGAATAAATAATCCCTTCTGGAAACCAGAGAAGAAGGTGAGAAGGGAACCGAGGAGTGCTCCTGGGACAGGCTGGCTGGCGAGTGCTGGCCTGATGCCTGACTCCGTTTCCCTGCTCAGACATCCCTGAGCTGCACCCCAGATTCTCGTTCCGAGACCTTGAGCTGCAGACGCGGGCTTTGCTGGGCATGTCATTAGAGCTAGGCGCTCAGATGAGGCTGCCAGGTTGAGATCCCAGGGATCAGTGTTCCAGGGGCTCTGAGCGGCTGGAGGGGGACTGCTGAGACCCGCCCGTCACCTGTTTGGCTTTGTTGCTGAAGAGACCAGTTCTCGGTCTGGTGCTCGGTCTAGATCTTCTAGATCATCACACTATCTATGAATACCCTGATTCAAAACAACGAAAACCACAAAATATAATAGCCTATAAAAATAATGATTGCCTTAAGTTTAAAAAGGCGTTTTTTCCAGAGAACCCAGAGTACTCTTCAGGTCCTCCTCTTGTTTATTCCTGGAGGCCCTCTGTGCCAGGAGGCCGAGAGGAGTAGAATCGAGGGGGCTTTTAGCTCCAGCTCGCAGGCTGTTCCTAGGGAACTCATCTCTTCCGCAGGCCCCGCTTTTATTCTCCATACTTGAGGCATGTGTGGGACCCTGTGGCTACTGGACCCCTTCCCTGCAGGGAAAGGTTTAAAAAAATTCCTGTGGGTTGAAAATCCCAACACATGCCCGTGTTATGTTCCTTTTGTTTCTTTCTCTATCTCCCTCAAATTTTAAAAATTTTTATTTTTTTGATAAAAAGCCCTGGTCAGCCTGCCTACGCCCCTTGCCAGAGAGCAGAGCCGGCTGAGCAGGCTGGTCAGCCCTGATGGGCTCCACGCCTCTGACCATAGAAGCAGACACAAGATCGGTGAGGTTTGCTGGGACTTAGGAGGGACACCACGCCTCTGACCTTAGAAGCAGACACAAGATCGGTGAGGCTCGCTGGGACTTAGGAGGGACACTCGCTCTTCAGGTGTTTCTTCTTCTCCACCGCCAGTCTCAAGGCCCAAAGGAGCTTGTCCTTGTTATTCAGGATGTTGTACTCAGAGAGCTTCACCAGCTTGTCAAAGGCGGCCTCTGTGTATGTCAGCTCCTTGGTAGCGTATGGAGTTTGGGGGCCATAAATGTCCACGTGGCCGTGTTCCAGCTCCTCGGGGCTTCGCTCCACACCTGGAGGCAGCAGAAGGACTTACTATACACAGAAGGTTGTAATGGCTTGTGTCTGTCTCTCTCCCCATGGCCTGTCCCAGCACACGTGGGCGCACACACACACATGCACATGCACACCTCCATGCTCCTCAGGGCAGGGATGCAGCTTGCCCATCTTAGGACCACCCTAGCAGGACACAGAGCCAGGCACCTAGTGGGATGTCAATAAATGTTGAATGACTGAAAGAGTAGAGGATGACATTGCTGGCTCGTGCAGGGGTGGGGGGCTTTGCTTTCTTCCAAAGCCAAGGTTGGTTCAGACTAGAGCTAAGCTGGGCTTCCCTGTTAGTCAAGTCAGAAGACTGCACAAGTCCAAACATAGGAGCTCTCAGCCCAAGAGCAGTGAGTGGTGGGAACCGAGTTCAGAGGCGGCTTACCTGGGGCCTTGTATTTCTGGAAGGAGTCGTTGATGAGTGGGAAGAAAAGGACGATGGGGCCATCAGGCTCCTGGGAGTTCTCCAGCAAGTAGCACTCCTTGAGGTTTTCCTCGTCCTCTTGCAGCTCGTATTTGGGGAAGGGGATGTTCTGCACGGTGCAGTACTCACAGGTTTGTTTCATGGGCTGGAAAAGAACAGGACACGTTGGAGGATTAGGAAGGGTGGGGGTGGGTAAGCAACATGGAGCTCTAGATCCAGCTTCCTGATTTCCCCAGCCAACAATTCAGGTCTCCAACTACTTTGCCTCTTTGTGCTATTTTCAGAACAAAGAGCCTGAGACAGTAGGTTGGTGTGGGTCCAACTACAAGCTCCTTCTGAAGGTGGACAGAAGCGCTTTCAATGATGCTTCACCCAAACACAGACCTGGGTAGATGTGGGCAGCAGCAGGAGGGTGACTGGAGCTATGCATATCTGGCCATGTCCGGCCAGGCTCCTGGGGGATGTGCATGGCCTTTGGAACGGACAAAGGGCCACAAGGCTGGAAAGGACTCTGAAAGGGCATCTTTATAAACATGATGTAACAGAAAGAGCGGTGGACTGAGAATGTCAGAATCCCCTTACTTCTGCCCCCCGTTCCCAGCTCACTAGTAGTGTGATCTTGAGTGAGCCACTGACCCCTCTCTGTGCCTCAGTTTCCCAACCTATAACACAGGAATAATAGCAGTTGTGCCATCCACCTTGAAGAGCTGGTGTAAAGATCAAGAGAGAGCAGGTGTAGGAAAGCATGTTGTCACTCATTTATAAACTTGACTCCTTATAGTTGGTGTCATGCTTATCCTCTGTCTGTACGCCCCTTTCCTGGGCTTCAGGATAAGACTGTACTAAAGGAGACCAAAGAACAGTTTCTTCCCCTTAAAAGGCCAGAACTTTTCAAAGGTAAATAGAGAAAAATAAATAAAAACCTCTGGTCCTGGCTTTTAATATAATCACATGGAGGGTCATATTTCCTGAGGAAAAGGGCAATGTGATTATTTTGAAAATAGGACATTATAAACTCTTGAAGTGGTATAAAACTTTAGAACTGACTGGACTCCGGGACGCCTGGGTGGCTCAGTTGGTTAAGCGACAGCCTTCGGCTCAGGTCATGATCCTGGAGTCCCGGGATCGAG